TAATATTTTAAAAATATGTGCTATTAATAAATTTAAATTTTTAAAAGATATTATAAACTAATTTATTTGAAATGTTTGTACAATTTAAATATTTTAGATTATTTTTTATTTCAACGTATCCGAGTTGAAATCTGGATAACAAGCAATAGGTGGATGTCAGTCACTGCTTATGTTATATTAGTTAGTTATAAATAATGTCAACACTTATTAGGTTTATATATATTTATCATTTCAAATCAAAATATATATCATTACTATGCACAGTTTTCAATAAAAATATATTACTTTTCTCATAAAATATCAAATCAAAATACTATTTAAATAAAAATTCAAATCAACATCAATTTCAAATTAATTTTATTTTTCTTTATAATTTTTTAATTCTTGTTATATTTATTTTTATATTTAGAAATAAGTATTATCAAATATTAGTAGAGAAATGATTGAACTTAATATAATTTTTTTTAATTATTTAGAAAATCATAATTCTTATTATTATATCAATATTGATATAAAAAATATAATTTGTAAATAGGGGCAAATTGAATCCGATTTTGACCTATCGTAAATTAAAAAATATTTTGAATAATTTAAAATGGTTTGATAAATATTTATAAAATAGTGATAGGGATAGAGGAAGGTTTCTTAAGATAATAAATAACTATGAGAATAAAGATATTATTATGTGTGAGATTGATCGATATAATATTTGAGATCAAAATTATCAAACAGCCAGAAGAAATTATCCTAACACTATCTCACGGCTCGATGGAAGTGTGAAATAATTTTTTATTACTTTTTTATACTTTTAATATTTGTTATCTTATCATCCGATTCATTGACTAAAACATAATAGATTGAGAAAGGAATCCAGAAAAAAAATTATTACTGAGTATTTTTAATTTGTACTTTATATTTTTTTACATGATTAAAATTAAATATTTTTTTTCTTTTATTACTTTATTTAAATATAATTTTTATATAATTTTTTTCTTTCAAATAATGGAAATCAAAGAGATGAGGAAAAAGAATAGAAAAGAAAAGCAAAAGAAAGTAATAATTATGACAATAATAATTTTAATTTTAGTTTATATTTGTTATTATTTTTTAAATTTAGTATAATTATATCCTATTTATTAATTTTTATTAAATATAGTTTTTTTTTAGAATATATTTATTTTAAAGGATGAATCATTTTTTTTTAATATGTAATTTACGTATGTTATGTCTATAATTTATTTACAAATTAATTTGGTTACGTTTTATTTTAAATTTACACACACATATACATAATATACTTTCTCTGTTTCAGATGAATATATTCTTTTTTATTTTTGTAGTATATTCAAAAGTAATACTATATTCGTCTCATAAGAAGAACATCATTTTTCTTTTGCATTATTTTACTTAATATTAAAAATATTTTTATACTTGTATAATTTATTCTACAAATGCCATTATATACTAATAGAGGTATTGTTGTCTTTTTTATCTTGATTTGTATTACGTATTGATCTAATAATTAATATTCAAATATCTATACGCAAAAAGCTCATGATACTCTTCTTATGAGACGAAGGAAATAATATTTTATTAGTCAATAAAATTATGTAAGATAATTTTGATAGTAATACCTTTTCAAAATAGCAAAAAAAACTTCTATGGTTTTCCGAATTTATTGAGAACCTCATGTGGTTCTAAAATTCCAAAAAATCTACTTTGGTTTCCAAAATGTCGCATGCTTGCCCCTCTCTCTAAATTTTACTAACGGACGTTAAATTTTATCATATTTGACCGTTATACTGTTATTTACTTGCTCTTCTTTCTTCTTCTCTTCTCCTCAATTGCACGAGATTGTTCTTCCTTTCTTCTCATTCTTCTTTCTCAAAATTCTTCTTCACGCGCACCAGGCTCTTTCTCTTCTTTTTTTTCCTAATTTTTTTTTTCTTCTTCCCCAATTCTTCTTCACGCTGCCCCCACCCGGTTTTTTCTTTTCTTCTTTTTCTCCAAATTTCTTCTTCCTTCTTCTTCATCTCCAATTCTTCTTTGAAGAATGAAGAATTGGAAAAGAATAAGAAGAGAAAGAAGACGACGAGCAGAAACGAGCAAGGAAGAAGGAAGGAAGTGTTGGATTATACTGTAAAGCAAACTTTTAGTACGCTTTTGTATTATTCAATTTCCTTATTAACTGGAATAAATAAATTGTTATTTCACATTGTGTTGCTTTTATTTATGTTTTATATATATTAGCATGTCCACTTATTTAATATTGTAGACAACATGGTGTGTGGAGATCACACAGAAGATCTTGTTGTCAGTTCTTTATTAAATATAAATGGGTTTCACAACTGAGATGGTTATGGACAAAACCATCGGTTTAAGTTGTAGTGTAAACTTGGAATTAGTTTGTCTTGACTACTAGTTTACACTAATGTGCTGCGTCACATTGAAAGGATCACAGTTGAGATATGTTCTTCTATTCTGACATTGAAGAACCAAGATCTCGGTAACTCTGTTAATTCTTAACCTTAGATGAAATAAATTAAATATATGGAATAAATGTTCGTTGCTTTAATTTACCATAAGTGAGAATCCTTAGTGATTCAATATGCTTCGTATTTTGGGCAACTACATTATTCGCATAGTAATTAATTTATTATCATTAAGGCACCATGTCCTGGACATCCAGGTTGATGACATCCCCTTAAGGAACTCAATAAGGATTATTGTATAAACCCTGCAGGTGGATTTAATCCGTACAATAATAAGTTTTGAGTGGTATTACTTAAGGAATTAAAAGATATTAATTAATTAAATTGTCAGAAGATTTAATTAATTAATGGATGTGGAACATCTTAAACATGGGGAATTAATTAAGTTTAATAGAAGCCCAGATTCAATTTGGGTTGGGCTGGGAGTGCAATATTAATTCTTTAATGGAATGAATTAATATTTTATGATTCGAATTATATTCAGGGCTGAATATAGAGATTTGGATCTATAAGGGAGCCCGAGCCCAACACCTTCTAAAGATCCCCGGTCTGGCCCAATTACCTGTTGGGAGACTTATTAATATGCGGTCTTTGTCAAACCCTAGTGACGGTTTTTTTTTTTAAAAGAGGCGAAAACCACAGGTGCAAGCCGTCAGCTCTAGGGTTTCACGAAGAGCAAAATTCGTCTCCCTCCGTTTGATAGATCGCCGCCCATCCGGTGTTCGAGCGGGGTTCGGGAACAGTCTGGAAGGTCTCTAGCGGAATCAACCTGTTCGTGATTGCTGTTGGTGGTTCCAAAAAGGGTACATCTCTAGTTCATTCTTATAGGAGCATGCTTAGGATCGTTTAATACCATGTATGTACGCGTTGGCATCCAACAACGATTCGTGGGAATGAACAGCCCTCACCGGCGTGTTCCTACAATTGGTATCAGAGCAAGGTTTCGTGGATTGTTGGCTCTGCCAGAAAACGTGTAGTTGGTATTGTCTTTAACGTTTTCGCATGTAATGTATGGAATGAATATTTTTTTTGTGCGTGTATGTTGTTTCCCTTCGCAGCCCTTTTGGTTTTGTTGTAATCGTTTTTCCCACCAGATAATAAGTGTGGGTAGATAGGCGGTTTTGTATATAGATCCATGTATGTAGGGCTTTTCATGTTGTTTTGAGTTATACTGCGTAATTCTGAAAAAGACATGAAAAAGGGAGGCGATTTGGAAGCAGTTCGCATAAGCAGAACAGCCACGAACGTAGTGGGGCAGCGAAGCAGAGGTGGCGCTGGAGGTAAGGGCGGACATGAGGCTTGTAGTGACGGCCAAGAAACAATTTTTGGTGATGGAAATTAGGTTTTCGGCTTTTGGGCCGAAAATCTAGGGTTTCCGTCGGCTGAAACTGTTTTGGCCATAACTTTTGCCTCGGTTGTCCGTTTTCAGCCCATGATACCTTTTCGGAAACGGGAGGACGAGATCTACACGAATTACAGCTACGCCGGCGAATGCCGCAGCCAAATTCAATCGTCTTCAGGAAGTTTTCGCGACTTCTTCCCGAGGCGGCCCGGTTCCAGTTTTTCCATCGCGTGAGAGGCCGATGTCTAGCATCTGTCCGCGCCCCTTTTAATCCTGTAATGGTTGTCTTAGGCTATTGGTTAGGGTTTTAAGGGCTGCGTGGGTGTGCTTTTAATTTTCTGCCTTTTATTGCTTTGTGGATGTATTTAAATTAATGCTTGCCAAAGTATTATGTGATATGCATGATTATGTGACAGGCATGATTTAAATTTACAAGCATGTTAGGAGCATGCTAGGAATTTAATTATTCTATGCATGCTGTCAAAACCTTAAAGTTTAAATGACTAAGTATTTAAGTTGAATTATTATTAATTCATGGGCCTCCATAATTGATCTTTAAGTAAAGTGTTTGTTATACGCGGGATCCATGGGGTCTCCTCCCTAATGGATATTAACATGCACAAGTTTACTAGATAAGATTTCAATTAAAGTGATTTAATTTTAAGTAAAGTGTGTGGCATACGTGGGATCCATGGGGTCTCCTCCCTAACGGATATGTCACTCATAAGTTTACTAGATAAATTAATTCGTGATAACTGTAGGAGATTATTTGCATTAAATATGACTGCCCTTCGGTTGCATATTAACTGTAAATAGTTGTCCTTGGCGTTAAATTATGGTCATTACTTAGATGTGGATTTTAGATATAACCCCCCAACGGGGTCCCTGTTTTAATTCACATGGCCAGTTCTAAAGTATCGGCAATTAATTTCATTCGTCATAAGGATAAGTTGATGAGATAATGAAATTATAGGCTAGCTGCCTGTTTGGTGAATGCATGTGTAAACGTCCGTCATAACATGGCTTGCATGTGCGATTTACTGAGCTGTCGTGATATGTATAATCTCGTGGTTTTTGAGGTTTTCCCATGATTTTATGCTTATGTGTTAATGTGAATTACTGCTTACGTGTTTGCATGTTTCTGTTTGTTTATTTCAGTTATCAAAATGTCGTTCAATCCACTTATGACTGTTCTCAATCAAAACAAACTCGTTGGTCCGAATTATTTGGACTGGAAACGAAATCTGGACATTGTCCTTGCTGCGGATGACTATAAATTCGTCCTAAGCACCCCTGCTCCAGCAGACTTAACTGAGGAATCCACTGAAGAGGAAAGGGAGGCTCATCGGAAGTGGCATAGGGCTGATCAAATGAGCCGTTGCTACATATTGGCGTCAATAACCAATATGTTGCAATTGCAGGTTGAAAAGTTGCCTACTGCTACTGACATGATGTTGAGCCTCAAGGAGCTCTTTGGTGAGTCAGATAGGGCTGCTCGATTTGAGGCAATGAGGAAGATTATGACTTCCTTCATGCCAGAGGGAACTTCTGTGCGTGAGCATGTTCTCAAGATGATGGAAAATCTGAATGAGATAGAGCTGCTCGGGGGTCAAATCGATGCTGACACCAAGATCGATATGATCCTGCACTCACTCCCTAAGTCCTACGAGAATTTCCGTCTCAACACAATCCTGACCAAGAAGGACTATACTTTAGCCGAGCTTCTTGTGGATTTGGTTGCAGCGGAGGGACTCATGGGTAGGACTCCACAGGCGCTGTTTTCTGCGCAGTCTGGACCTTCTTCGTCGAAAGGCGGGAAGAAGAAAAAGCCTGCCAAGAAAAAGGGTGCTGCAAATAGTGGGAGCAAGTCGGTCGCGCCTTCTGGTGGCGTGAAGAAGCCAAAGGGGAAGTGCTTTAAATGCAGCAAGACAGGACATTGGAAAGCTGATTGTCCCCTTCTGAAGGGCAAAGATGGTACGTCTTCTACTTTGCTTGTTGAAACATGTTTCGCGGCTAGTTCTACCAGTATTTGGGTAGTAGATACAGGAGCCACTGATCATGTTTGTTGTACAATGCAGGGGTTCCTGCCACCAAGGCAGCTGAGTGAGGGCGAGATTATCATAAGCTTGGGAGATGCAACCAGAGTGGCAGCGGTTGCAGTGGGAGATGTGCATTTATCTTTTTCTGATTCAGTTTTAGTTTTAAAGAACGTTTTGTATGTGCCAAGTTTTAGAAAGAATTTAATTTCAGTTTCGAAACTTTTTGTGGATGGATATTCAGTTGTTTTTAATAAAAGCGTTTTTATTATGAGAAACAAAGTTGTTATCTGTTCTGGCACATTGGAAAACAATCTTTATACTATTACTAGTGCGCATCAAACTGAAACCAATACTCAAGTTCATGCATCTTCATCATTAAAAAGAAAACAATCTTCTAAATCGAATCAAACATATCTTTGGCACCTTAGATTGGGTCATGTCAACCTTAGGAGGATCCAAAGACTAGTGAGCAGTGGTTTCTTGGACTCTCTCCAAGTGGAACCATTCTCAGTCTGCGAGTCCTGCTTGGAAGGCAAGATGACCTCCAGGCCTTTTAAGGCCAAGGGAAATAGGGCTAATGAAGTGTTAGAATTGATTCACTCTGATGTATGTGGGCCTATGTCAATTCAAGCTAGGGGTGGTTTTGAGTATTTTGTGACTTTCACAGATGACTACTCAAAATATGGATACATTTACTTGATGCGCCGCAAGTCTGAATGCTTTGACAAGTTCAGAGAATTCAAGGCAGAAGCGGAGAACCGTCAAGGTAAAAGTATCAAGTCATTACGGTCTGATCGTGGTGGCGAATACCTTAGCGCTGAATTTAGGCAATATTTGTTAGAGAATGGGATTACATCCCAGTTGACTGCGCCTGGTACTCCGCAACAGAATGGCGTGGCAGAGAGGAGGAATAGGACTCTTTTAGAAATGGTGAGGTCAATGATGAGTTATGCTTCTCTACCCATCTCGTTTTGGGGATATGCCTTGGAAACAGCGGCGTACATCCTGAATTATGTGCCTTCCAAATCAGTTCCTAAAACCCCAATAGAATTGTGGTCCGGGCGAAAGCCCAGCATGAACCACATTCGGATTTGGGGCTGTCCAGCACACGTGTTGGACAAGGAAGCTGATAAGTTGGCATCTAGGACGGAAGTACGGCTATTTGTAGGATACCCTAAAGGAACACGAGGGGGTTGTTTTTATAGTCCTAAAGACCAGAAGGTAGTGGTGAGCACCAATGCCAGGTTTTTAGAAGAAGACTATATGCATGAGCATAAGACCCCAAGTGAAATTATTCTTTACGAATTAAGGGGAGACAATCAAGTACCAAGTGTACAAGAAGATATACCACAACAAACTGCACAGCGTGTTGACCCTTATGTCACCACACATGAATTGCCTCGGCGTAGTGGGAGGGTAACTCGATTACCCAGTCGTTTCTTGTTAGTGGGAGAGTCCTCGGATTCAGTCCCCAGTGATGAACAAGAACCTGATCCCTGTACCTATAAAGAGGCAATCCAAGATGTTGATGCAGATTCTTGGCATAAGGCCATGGATTCAGAAATAGAATCCATGCATGCTATGGAGGTCTATGACCTCAAAGACCTTCCCAAAGGCAAGAAAGCCATTGGGAGCAAATGGGTCTTTAGGCGTAAGAGAGGACCTGACGGGAAGGTTACTACCTTCAAGGCACGGTTGGTTGCAAAAGGTTTTACCCAGAAAGAGGGCATCGATTATGATGAAACCTTTTCACCAGTAGCCATGCTAAAGTCAATCCGGATACTCTTATCCATAGCAAGTCACATGGACTATGAGGTTTGGCAAATGGATGTCAAGACAGCATTCCTTAACGGGAATCTGGATGAGGACATCTATATGCAGCAACCTGAGGGTTATGTGAAGAAAGGCCAAGAGCATCAAGTCTGGAAGCTAAAGAAGTCTCTTTATGGACTTAAACAAGCTTCCAGATCTTGGAATATTCGCTTTGATGAGGTGATCAAATCCTTTGGATTTGAGCGATGTCCAAGTGAAAGTTGTGTGTACAAGAGGTGCAACGGAAACGTAGTGGTATTCTTGATACTATACGTAGATGATATTCTTCTCATTGGAAACAATGTCAAGATATTATTAGACGTAAAGGTATGGCTTTCTGAACAGTTTCAAATGAAGGACATGGGAGATGCATCGTACATTCTTGGAATGAAGGTCACTCGTGATCGGAAGAAAAGAATGTTGTGCTTATCTCAAGCCGCCTACATTGATACTGTGCTTGCCCGTTTCAGCATGCAGAACTCCAAGAAAGGATTCTTACCTTTCAGACATGGAGTTGCTCTATCTCAGGATATGTGTCCTAAAACACAAAAGGAGATAGATGAGATGGCTAACATTCCTTATGCTTCGGCTGTAGGAAGTCTCATGTATGCCATGCTGTGCACGAGGCCTGATATCTGCTATGCTGTTGGCATGGTAGCTAGGTATCAGTCCAAACCTGGTCAAGGACACTGGATTGCGGTAAAACATATTCTCAAGTATCTGAAAAGAACTCGAGATTATAGTTTGGTTTACCAGTCTGACAATCTAGTTCCTTTGGGTTACACTGATTCAGATTTTCAAGGTGATCGAGATGAGAGAAAGTCAACCTCGGGTTATGCGTTTACCTTGGGAGGCGGAGCTATTTCATGGAGAAGCGTAAAGCAGAAATGCATCGCAGATTCTACCATGGAAGCCGAGTATGTTGCTGCTTCTGAAGCAGCAAAAGAGGCTGTATGGCTCAGGAGCTTCTTGTATGACTTAGGGGTGTCTGAGAGTTTGCCTGAGCGTGTAATCATTTATTGTGATAACGCTGGTGCAGTGGCAAACTCAAAAGAACCTAGAGCTCATAAAGCAAGTAAACACATAGAAAGGAAGTACCACATCATACGAGACATCGTAAAGCGAGGAGACATAGCTGTCACTAAGATTGCATCGTTGGACAACTTGGCAGATCCCTTCACGAAGACTTTACCCATTAAGGTTTTCGAGAAACACGTAGACGGCCTTGGTTTACGATACATTGCAGCTAGACTTTAATATAAGTGGGAGAGCATGTTTTTGCATTGTATACTAAAAGTTTAGCTTTAGTATAAGTGGGAGATTGTTGGATTATACTGTAAAGCAAACTTTTAGTACGCTTTTGTATTATTCAATTTCCTTATTAACTGGAATAAATAAATTGTTATTTCACATTGTGTTGCTTTTATTTATGTTTTATATATATTAGCATGTCCACTTATTTAATATTGTAGACAACATGGTGTGTGGAGATCACACAGAAGATCTTGTTGTCAGTTCTTTATTAAATATAAATGGGTTTCACAACTGAGATGGTTATGGACAAAACCATCGGTTTAAGTTGTAGTGTAAACTTGGAATTAGTTTGTCTTGACTATTAGTTTACACTAATGTGCTGCGTCACATTGAAAGGATCACAGTTGAGATATGTTCTTCTATTCTGACATTGAAGAACCAAGATCTCGGTAACTCTGTTAATTCTTAACCTTAGATGAAATAAATTAAATATATGGAATAAATGTTCGTTGCTTTAATTTACCATAAGTGAGAATCCTTAGTGATTCAATATGCTTCGTATTTTGGGCAACTACATTATTCGCATAGTAATTAATTTATTATCATTAAGGCACCATGTCCTGGACATCCAGGTTGATGACATCCCCTTAAGGAACTCAATAAGGATTATTGTATAAACCCTGCAGGTGGATTTAATCCGTACAATAATAAGTTTTGAGTGGTATTACTTAAGGAATTAAAAGATATTAATTAATTAAATTGTCAGAAGATTTAATTAATTAATGGATGTGGAACATCTTAAACATGGGGAATTAATTAAGTTTAATAGAAGCCCAGATTCAATTTGGGTTGGGCTGGGAGTGCAATATTAATTCTTTAATGGAATGAATTAATATTTTATGATTCGAATTATATTCAGGGCTGAATATAGAGATTTGGATCTATAAGGGAGCCCGAGCCCAACACCTTCTAAAGATCCCCGGTCTGGCCCAATTACCTGTTGGGAGACTTATTAATATGCGGTCTTTGTCAAACCCTAGTGACGGTTTTTTTTTTTAAAAGAGGCGAAAACCACAGGTGCAAGCCGTCAGCTCTAGGGTTTCACGAAGAGCAAAATTCGTCTCCCTCCGTTTGATAGATCGCCGCCCATCCGGTGTTCGAGCGGGGTTCGGGAACAGTCTGGAAGGTCTCTAGCGGAATCAACCTGTTCGTGATTGCTGTTGGTGGTTCCAAAAAGGGTACATCTCTAGTTCATTCTTATAGGAGCATGCTTAGGATCGTTTAATACCATGTATGTACGCGTTGGCATCCAACAACGATTCGTGGGAATGAACAGCCCTCACCGGCGTGTTCCTACAGGAAGGAATAAGAGAAAGAGAATAAAGAAAAAAATGGGAAGAATAAGAGAAAGAAAAAGAAGAGGAAGAGGCAGGTTGGAGGGGATGGATCTACACCAAGTTTTTTCTCTTTTTCTTTTTCACCAATTTTCTTTCTTCTTTATTTTTCCTGCCCAATTCTTCTTCACGCCGCCGCAACCAGCCGCACCAGGTTCTTTCCCTTCTTCTTTTTCCTCCTTGTTCTTCATAGTTGCCACCAGTTTGAATCAGTTTTCTATTTGAACCGTAACCGCTGGTTCAAGAACTGGAGAACCAGCCATTTGGAACGAGATGGACAAATCTGGATGTCAAATTGATTTCTTAGATTTCTGGGTTTGGTGAAACAAAGGAAGAAATCGACGTTGAACAATAAATTACGCATTCTCGTCTGTATCACTATGTCCGGTTGATTAATTGTGTTATAAATTTGGGATCGATTTCCAATTTAGTTGTGTTTAGCGGATTTAAAATGTAAAAAAAT